GTATATTATTTGGGAGTCTTATCTAGTTTTTGGGTCTTGCACTATTTGCACGCTCTGGAATGCAGAATACTTGGTGCTCCAGGCAGACAGCTGAACTGAGAGGGAAAGCTAAGGATTTCCATGGGAGGTAACTGGCCAGTCCATGACCCAGGATATCAAAATCTATCTGACATAAAATCTACCTTAGTAAATTATCTAAATATACATCAGCCATATGTAGACCAAGTTATTGAAGGATCACTAAAGTCATGCAATTGATCCTTAAATCACTACTTTAAATCCGTTCTGGAACAAGGCAAGAGACAGGTTTAATAGTACAGTGGACTCTTGAGTTATGACTGGCCTGACGTATGAAAAACTTGGGTTAAACCAGAATTTTAGTTTTAACTTATGACCAAAGTCTTGAGCCGAATGCCAGCCACTGTGCTTTGAGATAGTGTCAGATACAGATCTAACCCTTAAAGAGTTCTGGAAGGAATATTACGACATATTTTCCTGTATGGGGTTGAGAAATTCTGGGGCAATGTCTCTCTAAGGACACTGAGAACTGCCTATATACAGGAGAGAGACTTTGCGGAGGAGCCTGGGCCTTTAATTGACTGAATTTAAATGAATTTAATTGACTGAATTTAAATAAATGAATTGAGTTTGTAAGTCAAGGGTCCACTGTATAACTAAAAGATCATTGCTGTTCCCTCTGAATATACTACTTCTCTATATACCCACTTCAAAGGTACTCACAAACATATTTGCAGGCCTTTTGATAAATGGTTTTAAGAATGCTCAACAAGGGTAGATTTAACTTTTAGGAATAGTCACAAGCCAGCTGGATCTAAGTCTGATAAATCCATTTGGTGATCAAGTTGGGTAACATTGGCTTTCATGAATGACATGGTATTTTGTTCAGCATAGAAAAGGAGATTCAGTCAGCCCTTGCCCTTAAGAAGCTGTTGTTCACTTGGAGAGGAAGTCACACAAAAGACAATTTCAATACACTCTCATAAGCTCTGTATAGGAGGCATAAAAAGGTTTCTGTGTTTTGGAGTAATGGAAATGTTCTAAAGCTTGGTGATCGTTATGGCTGAACACTTGGTAAATTTACTAAAAACCATTAATTATACCAATTGCAATAAGATAAAAATTAAAGCACAAGTTTATAAGACCTTAGGTCGACTTGGCAGAACTTGGTAACTCCTGGCATGTGGGTGAGGGGGGCGAAGGAGTCAGGGAAGGCTTAGTTCATAGAAGGGATGGCAAGGAGTGGACAGGGAATACACAACTGTGACTAGGTTGGGTTTGAGGTTCCTCTGTGATATCTAGATGGAAATATCCAATAAGCAGGTATGCACATGATTCTGACATTTTTGGGAGACCCCAGTTACAAATCATTAGAATAAAGCAGTGGTTAAAACCATAAGATCAGACAAAATGAATTATGGGAACCTTGTGAACTAGAAGAAAACTAGGCTGAGGACGGAAGCCTGAGGGAATTAGCATTTAAGGGCAGGGAGACGAAGAAGATATGAAAAGGAAAATGGAGAAAAATGAAGGAAACAGAAGGAAAGTTAGGAGGGTGTGATGTCAGAAAGCCAAAGGAGGAATGTTTCAAGTGGACAAGAAATAGCATCAAACGTAGACAAAGTTTCAAGAAACAAAGACTACGAAGGTGTCCACTGGATTTGGCTACTAACCTTAGAAGTGGTTAGGAAATAAATAAGAGGGCAAGAAGTGGAGCTAAAAATGAAGCAGACTCTTTGGGGAAAACTGGGATGAAACAGGAAGGAGTCAGGGTAGCTGCTGGATGAGGTCACACATGTCTTAGAAGGCGGTGTTCTTCGGTTTGTCTGGAGGGAGACTAAAGCAAGTTTGTAAACTGAGCCAACAAGGAGGGAAGGCCAAAGACACAGACAAGAGGCCCATGGATAGGAGAGGCTGGAGAGCAAAGGGGCCAGGCCAAGGTCTCAGCGGGGCTCTGGGAGTAGGAGGGTCACCCCATCCTCTCAGACTGGAGGGCTGGAAGGGTATATGAACTGGGACTAAGGAGGAAAGTCAAATGGGCTCTCACATACTGGCTTTGGGCTTTTGTTTAATGCATGTGTGAAACAAGGGTGGAAATATGGAAGTTAGAGGTTTGAAGAGTGAAAAGGTTTAAAATTGTGATAACAGAAAGAGGTGATGGACAAGTGTGTTGACCTGTTATTCCTTATTCTTTTCTTTCCCTCACTCCCCCTCTCCATTAATTGGCAAGATGTCTGTCCTGCTTGTATTTTCTGGGTCAGGCCATTTTGCGTTACCTCCAGGCCTAAAACCTGTCCCAAGTCACCAAAATGTCTCTCCTAAACTTCCACCAGCCTCCTTACAACTTTTTTCTGTTTTTTCTCTGTTCTTTCGAGTTCTTTTCCCACACAGAAGCCCAAGTGATCTTTTCAAAATATAAGTCAAACTGAGGTGTACCAATAATCCCACTTACTTGAGAGGTTGAGGCAGGAGGATCAAGAGTTTGAGACCAGGCCAAGCAACTTAGTGAGCTCTTGTCTCAGAATTCAAAGGGGGTGGGGGTGCTGGGAGTGTAGCTCAGTAATAAAGTGCTTGCCTAGTATATGTGAGACCCTAGGCTGAATCCCCAGTGCTGAGGAAAAAAAAATACAGCAAGTCAGATCATTCTGCTTGCCTGCTCAAAACCATCTAACAACTCCGTGGTAAGACTCAAATCTAAATGCCAACGTTTGTCCTGTGAGACCCAACATGATCTGGCCCTATGGACTTTTTCCATCTCCTCATGTTCCACACTTTCCCTTGATGAATGTCTTTCAGCTACTCTGGGCTTCTTCTGTTTCTGCCAGTGTTCCACGGTTGTTGCTGCCTCAGGGCCTGTGCGCCTGCCTTTCTTCTGCTGGGAATGCTGGTGAGCTGTTCTTCACATCCACAGACAACTCTCACTTCCTCAAAGATGCCTTCCCTGCCTATCTAAAGGAGCATCACCACCACCCTCTTGCTGGTTTTATTTTCTTCATATATTTATAGTAACGATGTTAGTCAGCTTTTTGTCACGGTAACAGAAACCTGCGATGGATCAACTTAAAGAGGGAAAGGCACACAGGTTTCTGAGCCCCCTTGCTTTGAGCCTGTGGAGACACTGTACATCACAGTGGAATGCATGGTGGAGGAAGCCCATTCTCCTCATGGCAGCAGGGAGTGAAAGAGAAGAAGGAGTGTCCCCTTTGAGGGCACTCCCCCAGCGACCTAAGATCTCCCACTAGGCCCTATCTCTTAGAGATGACATCATCTAAACTGGGGACTAAATCTTTTACACATGGGCCTTTTGGGAAACATTCTAGATCCAAACTATAGCAGTAACTAAAACTACCTGACACATTTATTTACTTGTGTACATTGTTTTCTTCTCATGACTACTAGACTAAGAACTCTGGAAGAGCAGGAACCTTATCTGGCATATAGTAGGTTCTTAATAAATATTGGTTGAATGAAGGAAAAGATATATGGAAAAGTCCAGCTGAAATTAGAAAATAAATGCTGTGACTCTGTGGGAAACAGTGAGTTCTATTTTTTCGGTCAAAGAGGAGTGACTCCATCTTGGCCTCTAGCCCATTCTGGATAGCCCTCCCTGAACACACTAAATTACAGAAAATGCCTGCTCAGTTCCAATCCCGAGAACATAACTACAAACCAAAGATAGTTTATCACAGGCCAAGGATTCTCATTCTGTTCACAACCCCCTCCACTCTACTCTTCCTTCCCCTCAACAACCCCTCGGATTCCCCTTGCACTGAGTTAGCCAATTGGGATAGACTGTGAACCTCCAAACCAGCCAATGGGAAAGAGGTCTGCTGCTCTTTCTGCATTAGGTATAAAAGGGGCAACTCTTCTTTGTCCTGAGCACCTGCTACCTTATTGGTGGGGTGAGTTTGCACTCTTTTGCAGGGCTCATTTCCAACAGCTCCAGACTGTGTGATTTTCTTCATCAGGGACCACAGAACAATGAGATTAATTTTCTTATGTGCCTGTTCTAGAGACCATTTCAAACAATTATTTCCAAACACAAGCTGAGTAGCAAGGGCATCTTCATGAAAAGTAGATGTACTACCGGGTGACCAGTTCTGGTGTTTAATTCTTATTTGTTTTCCAGAAACTCTCCAGATTTTACAGTCTTCTTGTATGTGGGTTGGCAAGTTGTGGGAGGAAATTGCCGACTCCATTTCCAGCCCCAAAGCAAAGCTGTATTACACAGGTGAAATCAGGTTACTGGATAGGTCTGGTTTCCTTGGTGACCCAGGAGGTTCGGTTATATTTGAAATTGTTAAGGAGGAGAAAAACCTGATAAGGCAGATCTGTGTTCTCCTTGGGGAAGTAGTGCTTTTCAGTCCTTCACTAAGGCTGAAGCAGGCCTCTCTGGTTGGCAAGGGCTGACCTCTAGCAAGATGGGATAAGAGACACTGTCTAACTGTTCCCAGAATCCTGCGACCCAGTTTGGCCAGTTTGTCCTAGGCCAGCCCCGGGTAACTGCATCATGGCCCCTCAGGCTCTGTCTGCTTTGTTTTTGCATGTAAACACTGTAACCACAGAGACCAACAGTTAGCTTATTGTAGAATGTGCTAACCACCTTTCTTCTGGCCCTCATGACAACAGAAGAGTATGTTATTTTATAAATGATAGAGTGGCTCAGTTAACCCCTTAAAGTCTTTTTTTTTTGTATTAGTTGGTTTGTCAAATTTGAACCTGGGGGTCATTTGTTGCCAAGTGCTGCATACCAAACACTGCAGTAAACGTTTAAAAAATGTTTCTCTCACTTCGTTTTTGTGATAGAATAATGAAATGGGTACTTTTACTATTCCCCACTTACGGATGAGGAAATTTCGATTCAGAAAGATGAAGTGGCTTTCCATGGTCACCCAGTTGGTAACTAGGAGTAAGTCAGGGATTTTAGAAAACGACTATTGTTTATGTATTCATGGGAGGTAGACCTTGCCTTCTGCAGTTACCTGATACTCGAAGTCCATTTTATGCTGCATGTCCCGTAGATACTGAACGTCACTGAAGAACTTCTGCCTGTCCCTTGCTTCATGCATCATGATTCTTAATCCCTGACCTGCATATGAAAGAGAGATAAATGTGCTGTGACAGACTCTTTTGTGGCTTTGTCATATTTGGGTTTATTTTAGTATACTTGCTTTTATTCTCTTATTAATCTAATTGCCATTGTTTGAAAGGAACAGATGCTCCTTTCAGACTGAAGGGCTTCTTGTGTTGATGTTGAAGCCCCTCAAGCCCTCCTGCTCCAGGCATAAATAATGCAATCACAGTTATCAGCTGGCTTCAGGGATATTGTCCTCGTTATTCACAGGAAGTTAGGTTGACAGACACCTGATGCAGAAGCAGTTCCACAAAGTGACAGAAACAGAAAATCCAAGAGCCTTGCTAAATTAGCAGTGACCAAAGTTAGAAGCCCTAGGGAGTTTAAAATCACCTATGCAATTATTGCATCCTTATTTCAACCCAGGCAGGCACCATGCTAGGCACTGGGGTACAGCAACTAGCAAGACAGACATGTTCCCTGCCTTGTGTTGCTTACAGTCTAGGGTGGGACACTGACATTGAATGTGTGAACCTTAACTGCCAATAAGTGCTATGGAGCAGAAGTCTGGTGTTTCTTAGAGTGTTGGAAAAGAAGGGCATGAGCTGGTCTGGAGAGGTCAGGTGAGGCTTTCCTTAGGAAACAACACTGGGTTTAACAAGGAGTGAGTGAGGCAAGAAGTGGAATAAAGAGGGCAGGTACAGAGGGTCCAGGGCATGAAGGGGCAGAGCAGCTGGAGCAGAGATGGGTGTGGGGAGGCGTATCAGATTCGCTGAGGCGTTGGTGGGACCAGCTCATGTAGAGCCTTGAAGGTCATTATTGGAAGAGTCATATGAAGCAATGAAAGGTTCCAAGTTGGGGATTATTAGATTGTGTTATTAAAAGATCCTTCTATTTGTAGTATAGAGAATGGATGGTGGGAGGAAGACGTAGAGTAAAATATGAAAAGGGAAGACCACTGAAATATGTGATAATAATCCAGATGAGAAGAGATGTTGGCCAAACTGGGTAGCAAAGGTGAAGGTATTACGGAAGGAGATGGAGGCAGCAGAATGGAAGTAAAATAAAAAAGTTTACTCCATCGATGGGGATTGACCACACCTAATGGTGGTGCCCTGATAGACTCCTTCATTGGGCTACAACTCTTACTTTTATAGGGCTTTTTACAGCTTTGATCTTATTCAGTTGGTTACATTGCATTTTCACAGATACCCAAAACATGATAGCAAGTCAGTTGAATTTCAACCCGGATGCAGTTGTTTGTTAGGGAAATTACCTTTTAGATTCATTCAATTACCTACTCTAGCCAGGGGGAAGGGAGCTTGTTTGATTAACAAAGCTAACAATGGTTCTTTTCACTTACAAACTTGTGGGGAGGGTAGGTATCTCCGCTACTGGTTGATTCTGAACTAAGCTGGGTGAGGGGCAGAAGTTATCTTATATAGTGACATTTCCTAAATTTTCATTTATTAAATTTTTCCCTATCATTGGGAAGGAGGAGGAGGAAGAAAAGAAGGGAACCCCTGCTGCTACTGTTGGAAAGAGAAGTCTGTCTGGAAATCAATCAGGCAGAGAACATAAGGATTCATAATGAGAATATGTTAATGGTCACTAAAGGGGCACATTCTAGAGTCTACTTGGATGATACATTTTGGTTACAAAAAGTTAACACAGCAAAACCAGTTAATCTATCATGGCTTTAGCTCAGTGTTATTTTAAGAAGGTTTCTAAGTCAGGAGGCATGAAATAATTTTGCCCAAAGACCTAGGTAATAACTATTTGAGTAACTAGGTAGGTTACTTCTGACCTCACAATCACCTACCAAATAAAGGACTTCAAATTGCCTACAAAAGTCTCTTCCCCCTCTCCCCACAAACTCTCCATTACCTTATATTTTACTACAAAATAAATGTTTTGCGGCATCATGGTGCCATCAACACTTTGGAAGACTAGAGGAAACAGACTACTAGAGATAGACTAAGGAGATGGTAGGTCATCTCAGGTTAGTCAAATACTGCTCAAAGTCTGAAAAACTGACGAAGCTGACCAAGAAACAGAAATAACTGTGTGCAAACGCGTCCACATGAGATAATGCCTAATTCCTGGAGCTCATCTTTGTAGGCCTATTCAACCAGAGGGCCATGTGAAGCCAAGTTTTCCCTCAGCAAATACAGAAGGGGAGGGAAGAGTGGAGCAGAAGCAAGGCACTTATTTCTAAAATAGCATACTGTATTGTCTCCATTGCTTACCTTTGAACAGCTTCTCGTTTTAACATCTACTTATAGTCATGCACACTTGTTTTAAGTCTCTACTGTGTCAAATTTGTGCTTTAGAAACCGGTGTAAGAAGTCATATTAAGTAGTGGGGAATTGGAAGGGCGGAGGCATGTGGGAAAAGGAGGGTGTCTGCTCTGCTGAGAGCTCCAGCAAATGATTCTTCTTGGCCTCAAAATTCTACACATCTGTGAAATTTCAATGAAGAATATTCTAAGAACTTTATGACATATGAATTTCTCTCTAGTATACATTCCCAATGAATTCAAACCAAGTTACCCTAAGGAGAAGAGAATCTGATTGCCGAGTACATTCCTTTCATTTCACTTTTGTAAAAAAAGTGTGTGTGCGTACTGTCTTGTTTCATAGCCACATTTGTCCCACAGCTGATTTGAAATGTCTTTTATATAAACCATTGTTCTGCTTTCTTATTATGTTCTGATATTAGAAATATCATTAGTGATGTTTTGTTGGTTTGGACAATTAAGCAAAATGTAAGTTTAATCTCCTTTTAAGGCTGCAGGTTCTTTCGAAACAAAATTTAAATGGCTGTGTTAATGTCTGACAATTAGATTCATAAACTCCCCCTCTCCCACAACTGGATGACTGGAAGAAGGATCTCAACCTTTTCCACAATTAATTTGTAATGACAAGGATTACAGGATTGATTTCAATCTGAACTTTAAAAGATAACCTTAGAATTTTCGAACCTTAGCTTATTAAAAAAATGTCTTGATTTGGGCCCAATTTTCCTACCACTCCTTGAATACTGTAACTGAAGATAAAGAGGAGAAAGTGTTGGAGGAGGAGGGAGATCTTTTGACCCTTACAGCCAATTTGGTTTAGGAAATCAAGATGGCAAGCGCCAGGAGAATAGTGAGAGAGGCTAGGGCTTGTTTATCTTGGTGACTCTTAGTTTTGTTCTGAGAATAACAGAGATGGGTGATTATCAAGCTCAGGCGGAGAAGACAGATTCAATGTATCACTGGAAATCTTGGGGAGGTAATGCCACAGGTTTGACAAGCAATTTGATGCTATCATTATTGCTAACAATGCCACCAATATACCCTTCCTGGAGTTGCAGACCAATGAAGTCTGCAGGGAAGTTCCTGGGCAAAAGTATGAGGCGGCTACAAGCCTGCAAATGGTCAAGACTCCCCAAACCAGTGTCTCTGAGGCAGAAAAAACGGAAGAGGGGCTGAGGTCAGCAGGAGAGAGCGAGCGCCTCCTCTCCATGCTCCAGGCTCCCTCTAATATCTTTCAAGTAGGAAGAAAAAGTTGCCCCGCACCCCCACCCCTTTCCTGGGATTGGGGAGGACCTGTGGCAGGAGAGGCAGAGCGAGACAGGCCTGTTACCTCGCGGGTCCGCACTTTCTCCCAGCCCAGGACTAAAGAGGCCGAGGGCCAGGCTTGGTGGGCGAGTCCAGGGAGCAGACGGGCCACCCACCAATCTAGCGGGGGCAGTCCCCGAGCTGTCTTCCTCCTCCCCTCAAGTCTTCCCTCTTTCTAGCGGCCCCTTTTCCTCCACCGCCGCCCAAGAAGCTTTCCGCGGCGGGTGCGAGCCTTTCTAGAGGCAGAGGCGGTGGGGGCGGCAGCCTGGCGTCCTCCCGTTTCCTTGGTAACCGGGCCTCCTCTCTTCTCGGGCGGAGCTCGGTGCGCGCGCCCCTAGCG